GTGATGGGGAATGCACAGACTAAGGTAATGATTCCAGCACCCACCATCACCTCCCTGCTCAGGGACACAAGCACTCACCATCATCCTCTGGGCAAGGACACACTCACCATCACCCTCCCCGCATGGGCCAGCAGCTGCAAGTCAGCATCCAGGTTGACATTGGAGAGCATTTCTATGATGATATCCACTCCCCCCGGTCCTGTACTCTCCTGTACAAGACACAGGATGTTATTTTAGTGCTCGGGTACCACCATTTATTTCAACACTACAGGAAACATCCATTTTACAGGCTATTGTTTAAATTTTCAATGCAGCCTCTGCACTACAGCTGACAGCTAATGAGCTGAATTGTAGCACATTTTGCTGTGCTGACTTATGGTTCGCTCCCACACTGGAATTTGCTGAATGTAAGTTCCAAATGACACTGCCCGTGAGGAAACCTCTGCTTTCCAAACATGGGTAAATTTATCTCGTGTAGAAATTAAAAAGGCAGTACACTATTGCTCCTAGATAAATTCCCTTTACAATCTTCAGCAAACAGTTGCTTGTTTGTTAGTACCTGCATCCTCTAGCCCTGACATCATGCCTACCTTAATTCTCTCAATGTAATTAGGGTCTCTGTGATTAAAGGCTTGGTGAGCGCCGTTTCTCAGGATCACACTCATGCCCTCCTCAGTTCCTGCTGTACCCAAAACCTTCAAACCACAAGCTCTGGCAATCTGACATGCTGCTAGTCCCACCTGAGGGGAGAAAAAAAACAAAAGAGGAAAACAAACAAACAAAAAGAAAAAAAGAAAACTATTTTACCTATTTAGCATTTTAAATTTTAATTATTCTACCAGCAACTTGGAACTTCCCCATTTAAAAAGTTGGTCTGGTAACATGTGTTTTAGCCATAATTAGTAATTTGGATCCTAAAGACAAAAAAGTAGTCTTTTAAAAAGAACAAAAATTTACAGAAGCATGGAAGTTTTGATCAGCATTTTATATAAATCGATGTAGAATGTTGTCTATCTGTCAAAGCCGGGCCATACATTTTTAATACAAAGCCAGGAAAATTCTCCTCTTCACAGAATCACCTGATACCAGCATTATACATTGCAAAGAAAACCTGCAGGCACAAATTTTATTAACATCACTCCTGCACCTTTCACAAACAGATTAAATGATCTCTTTCTAAAGCAAATTCTCAGTGTCTCCTACCAGCTTTGCACTCCAGTAAGAATAGAAGCACTACATTTAGTTCATGAAAATAAAAAGAAGGAATGATGCTGAATGCCATTCTAGTATCTCAGAATAAGATCTGAATTCATCTTTCTGTTGTCTAACAAATAATTAAAGAAACTTTGCCTGTTCTTAGCAGATGTTTGGTGCATCAGCAGAAATTGAGCAAGAAAGGGCAGAGTGTGGGAGATAAACTAGAATGTTATGTGAGAGAGATCTAAAATTAGCTTGTCAGGTAAAACCAAAGAAAATCAGAAGTGCAATTTCACACAGTATTCAGTCACAGCTTTATCCATTCCAGTGCCTCTCCCTGTGCAGTTGGCTGTCAGCTCATGGGTAAAAACATCCCAGAAATGCACAGTTGCCCTGCACTGATGATTCCTTCTCAGAGGACTGAGAACAGCTTGCACATATAGGAAAATTACAGCTTTCTGCTATCAGTTTTGCCTGAGTTTGACTACTACAAAGCTTCCAGACCAACTTCCACCTGTTCAGTGTGTGACCCTCTGACTGGGGATCTCACACCTGCACTTGTGCAGTCTCACAGTTATTGCGAGTAACAGAGTTAGCTCTAAGCAAGTGTATCCCAGAGTATCTGAAATAAAAACCTAATTTGCTAATGCCTTTATTGATCTAAATGTGACCGTAACTCATACCCCAGGCAGACACAAGGACAGAGAGCAGCATTCCATATCACCTGCCTCCTTGGAACACTTACCCCGCCACTGGCACCATGCACCAGCACACTTTCCCCAGCTTTGGCACAGCCTCTGGGTGAAGAACACAGGAAATATTGGTGTTGTGATTGCAGTACACACAACTGAGTACCAGGGTGCAGATTCTGACCAATGCAGATACCGAGAAAATCTCATCGTTCACACAGCATTTCCAATTTATGTTCCAATTAACGTTCCAAACTATGCTCTCCAAGTTATGGCTAAACAGGTATCATAAGCCTTTTTGGGAGAACAAGAAGGCGAAATAAACCCTGTGTTTGATGGCGTGAAGTAACAGGCAGCCAGCAGACAGTGACAGCCTGGTACTGAGCCTCAGCTTGGGACCCTCCTCTGTCCCAGGAAAGCAGTAGTTCTGCTCCACAGCACCTGGCTGCTTAATTAGGAAATGAGAACTATTCCTGCTTTTCTTCTTGGGCTAAAATACCAGTGAGTACTGAAAAGCAGCCACATGTTTTATTACATGAAGCCTTTCCAGGTCTGTTCTCTCACGAAGAAACACAGGAAAACACAGTCACAGGCTTCTAGGTCACAATTATCTGACAATTCCATCAGCATAACAAGTTCAAGTGTCTCGAACATTTCCCACTCATCGATCTCCCCATTTTACAGGACAATGAAAAATATGAATTTTGGGGGGGGGTTGTATTTTAAATATTAAAAATTAAAGTGCACAAAGTTGGATTTGGTGCCTTACTTCTGGAAGAGGGCCCGGTAGGCAGTGAAGTAGGGCACTCCGAGCGCTGCTCCCTGCCTAAAGTCCAGCTTGTCTGGCAAAGGAAAGACTCTGTTGGCTGCAGCAACTGCATACTCTGCATATCCTCCAGAGACCGTTTCAAGGGTGAAAACCCTGTCCCCTTTCTAGAACAGAGGGAGAGAACATAGAGAAATTAATAATTTCCCTTTCTTTTTCCTTAATAAGCATTAAGAACCAATTCACAGAGGTTTAGGCTATTGCTAACAGCTCTCCTATTAAAAATAACCAGTTATATTTGTCATAGAAATTTTTATAAATGCTGATACATACCACCAATGCAACACAAACCATACAATTCCATATACTTAAGTGTCATTATTATAACCCTGCTCTGCAGTGTAACACACAAACCTACTGCCTCATTCATATGAACCTTAGTGAACTTGGTCAACTTGAACAGATTTGAAAACTATATAAATGCCATAGATATCTTTTAGCAAACTGATATTTGCCTTCTCCTGCCACAAGACTTTCCCCCTGAGAAATACAAGTAAAATTACTAGATTGGATCAATGCAGTATTTGAACAGTTTTAACAACAAATACATAATGGGGCTTTTCAAGTAAGCAACTTCCATTTCCCAAAAAACTTTACAGAAAATTTTTCAGTTCTGCATGAAATTATTATCCCCAGCTGGAAGCATCCAATCTCAAATACTTCTGCAATGCAGAAACCCCACTTATGTACACCTGATGTCACCACTTTAAGGAGGCAGACACCAGGTGTGCCTCTTCTGAGACCTTTGAGCTCCCAGAGGTCACAGTATTCCTCAAAGTCCCAGCTGCAGACTGGCTTGCCATTGGTATCCCATTTTCTGTTTTTACAAGTCTGTGAAGGGGATTCCTCCCCTTGAAGAGATTACATGATTATAAACAGAATCAGCTACAGTAGCACAGCAATCACCCAAAAAGGATACAATAAACAACAGTGAATTGAAGCTCAATGTGTAAATACCTTGAACGCAGTCACGTGTTCCCCAACACCCTCGATCACCCCAGACACATCCGAGCCTGGGGTGTAGGGCAAAGCCGGTTTCCTGGCGTAAGTCCCAGAACGAATATACGTCTCAACAGGATTTACCCCGCAGGCATGGACTTTAATTAACACCTACGAAAAAAAGGTGCTTCTTAAGCACTAAGTAAAAATATTTAGCTGTTTAATTCACAGCACAGTATCATGGCATTTTGACTGAATTCTCAAACAGCCTCTGCGACAACCCAGTGTGGAACTAGAGCTACTTTCAGGAAACCCTTGATGTGGAATATGTAGCCCACAGAACAGTAAAGAGCCAACATTTGTCAAGCATGATGTCCCAGGGAGTATGAACACAGTGATCAAACCCCATCTACTCCAGATGAAGAGTTCTGGGTTGTGTCCCTCATTGTGTCCTGCAGGCACCTGTTACCATTCATTACTGCTATTTCCCTTCACAGAGCTCACAGATACCTGGTTTTCTTTTGGAATAGGAACTAACACATCCGACTGGAGTTTAAGTACTTCAGGGCCACCAAATTCAAACACTCTGACCGCTCTCATCACTCTGCTGGTGGCTGCCATGGCGACCAGAGGATCTGGGGAAAAACACGACAGTAACACCCCTGGTTCGTGCTCAGGTCAGGGAGAGCCTGAGCCCCCAGGACGTGCCCTGCGGACACCGCCCGGGACACGGCACAGCCCGCGGGGTCGAAGGGCGGCTCGGCCTCGTGATAATGAACCGATCCAGAGGGAGGGGAGGGGAGGGTGCGGGGGGTGCCCGAGGTGCTCAGGGTCTCCCGCTCAGAGCAGCTCCCGGGAGCCGGGCATGGGGCGGACGGGAAGCACAGCACAGGGCTCGGCCCCGGGCCCGGCCTGACCCGTCCCTGCCGGCATCACGGCCCGACACGGCCCCGACACGGCCCCGACACGGCCTGACACGGTACGACATGGTACGACACGGCCCGACACGCCCCCTGACGTGCCCCGCCCCTGACGCGCCTCTCGCCCTCAGGCCCCGCCCCCCGCGCCCTGTCGCGGTCAGGCCCCGCCCCCCTGAGCGCCGCTCGGGGCCCGGGCGTGGCCGCCGCGGCTGCGGAGCCTAGCACGGGCAGCGCGGGGCCGCCGTGGCCCCGTCTCGTCCCCGCGGGGAGCACCGGGGAGCTCCGCGCCCCCGCCCCCCGCCTACCTGCGGAGCGCCGCCGCCCCCGGGCCGGAGCGTGGGACAGGGCGGAGGGCGGGGCCACCCCGCGCCCCTCCCCGGTGCCCGGCCGCGCGCGGAGTTTGTCCCCCGCGGGCCGCCGTCCCCGGCGCGATGGCGGCGTTCGCGCGGCGCAAGGCGCAGCGGCTCGCGCGGCCCGACGCCAGCCGGAAGCGCTCGCTGGACGCGCGCGCCGCGGGGCTCGCGCGGCTCCTGAACGCGCGCGAGCGGTTCTGTACGGCCAGCTCGTGCGACGGCAGGGTCCTGGTGGCGGTGAGAGACACCGGGATACACACCGGGATACACACACACCGGGATACACACACCGGGATACACACACACCGGGATACACACACACCGGGATACACACCGGGATACACACCCACCGGGATACACACACACCGGGATACACACACACCGGGATACACACACACCGGGATACACACCGGGATACACACCGGGATACACACCGGGATACACACCGGGATACACACCGGGATACACACCACCGGGATACACACACACCGGGATACACACACACCGGGATACACACCGCCGGGATACACACCACCGGGATACACACCGGGATACACACACACCGGGATACACACCGGGATACACACCGGGATACACACCGGATACACACACCGGGATACACACACACAGGGATACACACCGGATACACACCGGATCACAGGGATACACACACCGGGATACACACCGGGATACACACACACCGGGATACACACACACCGGGATACAGGGACACACACCGGGATACACACCGGGACACACACCGGGATACAGGGACACACACTGGGACACCACCGGGACACAGGGACACACACCGGGATACAGGGACACCGAGACACACGGGATACGCGGACACCGACCGGGATACAGGAACACACCGGGATACAGGGACACCACCGGGATACAGGACCGAGACACCGGGATAGAGGCCGGGATGGCGGAATGGGTACCGGGATGGGTACCAGGACACCGTTATACTGGGACACCGGCATGCGGACCGGGATACCGGGATGGCTACCAGGATGGGTACCGGTATGGGGGCCGGGATGGTTGCCGGGACACCGGAGTACCGGGATACTGGGATGGGTACCGGGATGGTGGGCCGGAATGGGTACCGGGATACCTGGGTACCGGGACACCAGGATGGGTACCGGGATGGCAGGGCGCGGTCGGCATGCCGAGACGGGGGTCCCGCTGTTGCCGGTGCTTCCCTGTCCGAGTGCCGGTGGCCGGGACACACAAACCCGCGGGTGCCGGGCCGAGCGGTGCCCCTGGGAATGGTCTCCGCGGGCAGAGCGACGCTCCTGGCTCGGAAGGGCTGGATCAAACATCACCGACCCGCAAAGCCCATTCCCTGCTTTCTGTCCATCAGGACACGGACGGCAGCGGGATCCAGAAGAAGAACTGCAGATGGCTCCTGGTAACACACGACCCGTGTGCCAAAGGCGATGTGGTAAGAGCAGAGTTTTGATACAGGTTTTGTATTTATTCATTGCAGTGCTCCTGGTGTCATGGAAAATGTGTCACTTGAGAGGGTTTTTATTCCTGCCGCTGAGATGGATTGCCACTCTTTCAAAATTAAATTTTCTTTGGGGGTGTTGCTCAGTAAATTCTTCAGACCCGTTTTGAAGAGAATGCTTTTAAGCTCAGTGTGTCTCAAAGTGACTTTTCTGAATAGAAGAAAGTATTCCCAGCCCTTAAGGTTTCTCTGCACGAAGACAGCACAAAAAAGAAGATAAACTGTCTTTGTGAGCTGTGCAGGATATCAGAGAGCTGTCTGCACACTCACAGGTCCAGGAAAAACTGCCACTAGCATCTCTGTCTTCTGGCAGAACTGAGGGGTCTGAAGGGGATTTCTTCAATTTTATAATTATAAAGTAACTCTTTTTTCCTCTTATCTTGTGGGTTTATGCCTCTAATTTCAACCTCTAAATTTGTCTTTATAACTCTCATATGGTATTTGAGCAAGAATTAAAGTCTGGTATGTTAGGCCATGGATTTAATCTGCTGAAGCCCAGAAAGTTTTCTGAAGTTGAGGGATGTACTTCAGCAACTAAATGTCTTTGATTCTAAAGAACAGTTTAAAAAAAAATCCCTGCTCAATCACCTGATTGCAGCAGAACAGTTATTGTCCTTTGCTCGACTGATGGTGTCTATGTTTGGATGTACAAAGGAAAAACAAAACGGATGAAACACAGTTTTAAATGTCTGTCTTGCCATGAATTTCTGTCAAACCTGATCAGTTTAGCAAACAGAATCAGGGAAATCCATGGAGTTTCTGTGTATTGTGAGCAATAAAAACTTAAAAGCAGCTGATCAAACCTGACTGCTTGGGACTCATTTGCTGCATTTTTGATGCTTGTTTCACACACAGACTAGCTTTTTCTCTTTTGCATTTTTTTTTCTGGCAATAATAGTATACACTTGCAGTGTTAATATAAATGTTTTGGTGTATTTTCCAGATGACAGCACTAGAGAAGGCCACTGGAGATGTTGTGTTCAAGTTTGAACCATTTGTTCTTCACGTGCTGTGTCGGGAGCTGCAGGATGCACAGCTGCTGGTAAAACCACGTCAAGCACAATGTGACATCGTTGTTCTGTTACATTCCTGCCCGTAAAAGTAAGAGGATTGGCTCCTGGTTAAGCTGTAGCGCTTAGGAGCAGTCACAGATGTGCTATGTGTTCAAGAACTAGGATAGTAAAGTAAGCTGATGAGGAAAACACAGCTTTCAACTTGGCTGAGATTTTGCTGTACGTAGAAAGCAAAATTACTCACCTTTGAGCTGAAGTGGGCTGCCCATAAAACATTTCTCGGGGAGCCTGGGCTGCTCTCACTGGCTGAAAGGGATGGATTTTAGACATTACTTTGCTACCATCCGGGCCATTTGTCTCCATTTTCAATGAATTGAGTGGCATCTTTGTGTTCTGCTTTTCCATCATGACGGAAGAGCAGCGTGTGCCATGCCAGGCTTGTTCCCTCATTAGCACGGGAGAGCTGATGAGCTCCATATACAGTCCTGCTGCTCTCACAGCTATGGACGTGTGTGCTTCCAGCTCACTGGGATAAAGCAGCTCAGCGCTCAGAGACACGTTGTGTCCCATCTGCACTGATGGATTCAGACAATCAGGATCCACCATGGATCTGAAAACCACCCCTAGTCCGTGGGCTTGATCTTAAAGACATTTTAATTTAACTACTTTTGTATCAGTCTGTGGAAATGGCTTTGAGTAAGTTTTTTGCAAAACCAAGATTGCAAGTTGCATTGCAACCCATCCATAATTATTTTTTGCTGTGAAAGTGTACGAGACCTGTTTAAGCCCTTGTTTGTTCTGCAGCATTCAGTGGCTGTTGATTCTGGATTCAGGAACTCTGGTATTACGGTTGGCAGAGGAGGAAAAATTACGATGGTAAGGACTCTGCTGCTGTAAGGGATGTAACAAAGTCGTATCATTATGTTAACCTTGACTTTTTACCAGCCGAGATCTGGCTTGTGCTAAACAGCTGTCACAGGGCATGCTGTAGCAAAGAAATAGCTTTCTGCTTTAGGTGAGAGCAAACTTACCAATTGTTTGGATAAGCAGGTTTTTTCCTGTAATGAACTCCCTATATTATTTAAATAACCTTCATAAAATAAAAAAACTTCGTTCCAGATAAATTCTGTGTGCTTTTTCAGGCTGTCCGGAGTACTCACTGCTTAGAAGTTCCATTGAGCCACAAGGGGAGATTGTTGGTCTCTGAAGAATATATTGAATTTCTGGTCCAAGTAGCCAATCAGAAAATGGAAGAAAACATAAGGAGGATTGAGAGGTTTGTAAGATTACACCATGTAATGATGTAATGTTCATGACGTTGAATTTTTCTTTAGTATTAGCTAAAACCACTTTCTTCTCCTTGCATGGTTTGATTGCGTTCCAAAACCATTAGTTTCTCAGAGGAGTTTTGAAGCAAGCCTACAAAAAAGTAAATACAATTTTTTTTTTTTTTTTCTAGATTCCAGAAAGGCTTGGAGTTGGCTCTGGAGGCTGCTGTCCCTACAGACACCTTGGCTCCTGAGGGGCCGGAGAAGAGTCACTCTGTGTATGTGCACAGGAGAAAGAGACGGACCACTCGGGAACAGGCCGATCCCAGTGGAGAGCTGGAGCCCCAGGATGATACCGAGAGCAGTCTGGATCTGTTTGCCGAAATCATGATATAGACTAAGGCATTTGAAAGCAAATGGCAAACTGATTGTAATGCTCTTTGTAAGAGGTTTATATACATTTGTGCTCTTAAGTTGTCACACTCCCATGGACATTGACCAGAAAAAAGGTAATTAACAGAATGGTGAGCGGGTGTAATGCTACCGGGCACAGACAACAAAGCCTTAGAATGTTTTGGGAGTTTTGTACTGTACAGTTTTTCAACTGTACTGTTGAATTAGCAAGCTTTTACTCCATCTTCCAGTTATCTCAGAAATAACAGGTTTGCTGCAGCCTTTGGCCATGTTCTCTGGGGAAACATTTCACTTCCAACTTTCTTGGTTTTGCAGAGCAGAGAAACTAAAAACTGGGTTGTTTTCCCTGCAGGCACGGCTGGCCCTTCCCAGAGCACAGGGCCAGCTGTTAGTCACCTGCAGAGCATACCTGGGGCAGAGGTTAGGACAGAAAAGCAGGAGCTGGGTACTACTCTGTGCCAGCGTCAGCAGGGTGCATCCATATCTCTCCTGGCCACTGCACCAGCAGCTGCTGTTTCCCTGCTCTTTGTGGTGTCTTGGGCTCTGGCCCCACTGTGTGTGCTCCAATTCCTGTGGCCACTGGCCACTCAGTACCATTTTTCCTTGCCCTTTTAGCCAGCTCTGTATGCTGATGGCCCCTTCCCCTCACAGAGCTCCTGTGCTCTGCAACCAGTGCCCGGCCAAAGTCACCCCAAGGGCTGGGTTGGGCTGTGAACCACTGACTGCAGGAACTGTATACTGAACTGTATCCAAACAGTGCAGTACTGTGTGCATTCCTTGTTGTGCCACTGGCAAAGGCACTCCATGCTCGTGTACTTTTCAGAAAAATACTGAATTTGTAAACCTTCCAAGCTGTCTTTTGTGATTTGAGGGATAGCTTACACTGCAGAGCCAGACCCTGACTGAAGGAGATGGTTTATTTGTGCAGGAGCTCCCAGGCCATGCAGAGAGGTGTGTCACTGTTTCCATTACATGAGCCTGTGTCTTGGGGGCATTTTAATTCCACTGTAAAAATTGAACATACTCCATGGCAGCCACAGGGAAGAGTAATTGGGGCATTGAGTAGATTCTGAAAGGCCCACTAGGCTGTTTTCAGTCATAGGTGCAACCAGAAGAAAGGAACTGGAGCCTCTTGTGTTGTGTGTTAGTGTTGCTGACTTTGAGCTCAAATGTTCTCCTTCTGGGAGCTTGAAACACCTCAGCATGTGGCTGGGGTATGGGAAGGGGAGAGGCCAGTGCCTTTCTGTCCTTGTAAGTTTGCAGCCACGTGCAGCTGAGGTGCTGGGTGGCTGCCAGCACAAACAGCGTGTCACAGAACACACTGGTGCTGCTGGTTTCAGGGAAGGAGAGAGGTGCTGGAGACAAATACTGAAGACTATTGGCTCGTGAGACGGCCAATATGTGAGGTGGAAATTTGACAGAAACCTTCCAAAGCAGCACTGTGTGCACTGGTCTCAGACTTCATGCACATTTGGGAGAACTAACCATGGTTCCATTCTGACTGAACACGGGGGGATCATTTCTAACACTGCAGAGCCGCTGGCCAGGAGGTGGGTGAGCAAAGCCCAAGTCCCTTGGCCTGTGGGGCAGCAGCCAGGTGGTGGGAGCAGCCAGGGGTCCCACAGCAGGGCAGGAGACAGCAGCTCCTCAGGTGTGGGGACACAGCTTCTGCCACAGACGTTGCTGGAGCAGTGTTGGGACGGGGGCTTGTGTCAGACCTTTGCAGTCACCACATTCTACAGACCTTCCTCTCTCTGTTCTGAGGGTCAGCTGCCTGTGTGGGCTGAACTGAAACCCCAGGGCTTCTATCAGCAAACAGCAATATCTGCCTCTGTGCAGAGAAGCCTTCCCAGCCTGCTGCCCCAGCCAGGTACTGCACAGCTACAGGCTGTCCCTGTCCCCATCTCCACTGCTAGGGGTCTCACCATTCTGGCAGGTCCCTCCTCACTGCCTGGGGAGCAGCTGCTGTGCACAAAGGAGGCAGTTGTTGCTTGTGGATTTCAAGGAGTTTGTTCAGAACAGTCTGAACCCTTCTCTGCATGTGACATTTCCTAAAAGTCTGGGTCTGGTCTGTTGGATGTGGCTCAAGGGACTGATGGCACCAGCACCAACCACAAGCAGTGCCCACAGACCTTGCTGTGCTGTCAGGTCTCATCACACATGGGAAGGGAAAATTCAGGACTGAAAAAGCAGAGATACGAAGAAACCATATCAGGCTTCAAGCCCAGCCTGCAGAACCCATATTCCTGGGATAGAGGAGGCCTGTTCCCGAATCCAGAGCAGTTTAATTCCTGGTGTGTACAGTCACCTGTGCAAGGTGGGAGAAGGATCACAGATACTAATGGTGTGTGCAAATCAGGACCTCAATGTGCTTTTGAAGGCAGAGTAGGGTTGTGTATTGGCAGGAAAGAGCATTCAGTGCAAGTAAATTTTTGGGAAGCTCCTTTTTAATGTTACCTTTTTCTTCTTATTTTTATTTCAGTGGAATCAAACACCACAATAACGGCCTAAACGCTTGCACTGTGTAATAGCAGTACAGGATTTACATTCTTAGAAATACAGTTTGTCAGAAACTGACATGTGATACAATCCCACATTCCTCTGAAAAATGATACAAAATTCATTAATATTTTTTTGGCAGTCTTAACCTAGAAATGTTACCCTAACTGTTGACATCTTGTTACTTTATTCCCATCATCTCCAATGGTTGAAGACTGTTGGGGACGTCATACAAAAAATCCAAAACAAGACCCTACAACAAGAAAAATAAACAGTCTCATGATTGTCAGGGAAAGATCAGGGAATTTTGTTACTTCAGTGCCTAAAATGTAGAACAGTTTTTACAAGGTTTGTCTGATTTTTTTTACACCACATCCAACATTGCAGAGGGCAATGCTGAGGTGGTTTCAACACCCTGCAGCCGCTCCAGGAAGGAGCACAGCCCCAGCGCCACCTCCTCCGTTCAACACTGCCCTTACCTGCCCGTACACTGGGGATCACCACACTTCACCCCAGGCTCACCCAAGTTACACCTGTTCTTTTTGAGGTTAATTTTGCCAAGTTGTGTTTCATTTCCAGCTGCTCTGAGCAATTCTGTTGGGCTGTAAATGCCATCTGCAGCTGCAGAGTGCAGGCAGCCAGTGGGCAGAGCAGCCACAGGCAGTGGGAGGCAGCACCACTGAAAATGGCGACTCTGGGGGTCATGGCCAAAGGAAAATCCACTGATAAGCAACAAGACTCCTAAAACTGGCAAATCTTTACCATTTGTAAGTGTGCTTAGCCACTTAATTAACCTAAAAGGTATTTTCATCTCAATTTTCATATTTGCTCTTGCTGTGTTAAATTTTTTAAAATTACAATTTCATTCCCTGTGCACTCAGTTGTTTCAGGGGAGGCAGATGGGTTCATTCACTCCAGCAACTGCTAGTCTTTTCTCATCCATAGCATTTTGCATCCACACCAGGAAACCACTCAAATCAGAGCCACAGTGTTCCCAGCTGGTTGTTCCGCAGGTTCCAAGCCGGTTGTGCTCCCCAGCACATCCAGGCACTTGGACACAAAGTCACTTGACTGATTCACCAGGATAATTCTGTACATGCAAATCACAGATGTCATACGCACAAGTATTTTCTTGAAATAGCTTCTTCCTCTGAAACTCAAGTACTTAAATCAGTTTACAAGAGCATGACAGTAAAAGCCACAGAGTGCACTGAAATCAGTGTTTTCACGTGGGGTTAAACCTCTGTGGACAGGATAGCTTCTCAGCTCTCATCCTCCATTCCTGCCAGGGCTCGACCTGAATTTGCCAGAGTCCACACACTTAACAACAACATACAATTGTATGAAATGCAGTCTCAAGGTTTTAAAATTATTGTATTAAATGTACCATGTACTGGAGGCCTAGCAGCTCTTTGGTACTTTTGATTACTGAAAATACACAACTACTTTGCAACACGCTGTCAATTAGATTTTACATAATGGGATATTAGGGGAAATGTTTCAATTCTGCTCTACCCATAGTTGAAATTGCCCCGGTGCAGCGTGCTGGGGGTTTTTTGAAAGAGCCTTTGAAAAAAATTTGAGCCTTTAAAAAAATTAGATAATCACATGCCTAAATTTCCCGAGCTGCCCACTTAATTTCTTCATATCAAGAGAAAGTAAAGCCTGTAAAAACTGCTGTCAAACATGCCAGCTGTGGTGTGGCACCAGGCAGCTACCCAGTATCAAGGTCAGAGAATCCTCAGCTCTTTTTTTTAAATCAGAGAACAGCACACAAATTACAAGAAAGCTTTTATTTTGCTTTTTGGGTGCAGTTTATTTATGGTAGCTGACCAGATACACTACTTTGCTCAATTTTATACTGGTAGGGAAAAAATCTTATTTGTTTTTATTTTCTGCAGGATCCCGTGAAAAGAGGAATATTTTTTTTTTTCTCAAAACCAAGTTTTATAGTTACTGTAATTGGGTTTTTTGCAAAGGCATTCTGGCAGCTCAGAGCCCGGTGGTTGGACGCTCGGCCCCGGCGCAGGAGCGGATCCCGCTCGGTCCCGGCGGCACCGCCGGGCTCTCCCGCAGCCGCCCCGGGCGGCGGGCGCAGCGCTGCTCGCTACATCCCCTCGGTGCGCAGGTGACATCCCGGCTGTCTCGGGGGTTCGGGCAGGGGTGGAAGGTGTCGGTACAACCCGCGCTGACGGCGGGCGACAATTCATACTTCATACAGGCACCGGAGTTCGCTCCGTGTGTAACAGAGTAGGATTTTTCGTTTCTTCAAATAAGCACCTAATGAATTCCGTTTTACCATATTTGAACACCGGGCAGGGACTGCAGTTTTCCGCGCCTGACCCGGCCCGGGGGTCCCTCCGGTGGGTGCCAGGCAGCGGCGGGACCCGGAGCGGGGAACGGGGCCAGCGATGGAACCGAGCGATGGAACCGAGCGAGCGGCGGAGCCCCCGCGACCGCCAGTCCCGATCCCCGTCCCCGTGCGCTCGGGGCTGGTGAGCTCAGCCCGCGGTCCGGGCGAGAGATCAGCACTTGCGGCTCTCCGCACTCACGCTCGGGTTGGCAGCAGGAGCCATTTAACCTCCTGAAATATCAAACATCTGGCAAGCAAAAACCCGTTTCCCTTGGGATGACCAGCAATTCCCCGCTAATGCCCGTCCCCGATCGATTCCGCGTCGATGTTACACGGGCAGCACTGTTCTTTTATAATCTGCTCATTTAAATATTTTTGCATAACATTGCTGACAAAAATCAAGGAATATTTAGAAGTGACATGCACACAGAGTTTATGCATATAATCCACGTTTTTCCATTACTTTGCATTTGTAGATGCAAATTATTTCAGAATTTTCTTCGATTGCACAGAACCTGAGCCTGGTTTTGTTTTCTCTCACTGCACTCACTCACCTCAGAAATTCTGCAGAGACAGTCACGGGAAAGTAAAATCCAGGAGGATTTTTTGCAGAGCTCTGTGCAGGGTTTACTTGTTTATCCTGTAACATCTTTACCTCGTAGAGACAGACAGGACCCAGGGACATACTGCTTTTGGAAAACATGCAGGAATGCCACGGGTAGTTCTATATGGGATCAGAATTTGGCCCAAAATGTGTAATATTAGAAATTACCATTTACTCCTTGTTCCTATTACCTAGATATGAAAGTTCAAATTCAAGAATGTGTTTTCACATCCACAGCACTCTGGGGTAATATTAAATGAACTCTGTTTAATAAAACACATTCCAAGTTGCTATTTTGATTGAAGCATTATACTTCTTGTCTTGCAATAAGTAGTTCAGATTTCACTGGGTCATTGAAAATTTTTGAATCAGTCTCTTTTCAAATCATATTTAAAATACAGATGTAAATAACTGTGGCACAGATCCCTTCACAGCACAAAGCAGGAGTAAGGGTCACAGTGCTGCATTACAGTCAGTGCTGCCATTACCTCCGGAGGCAGAGAAGGAAATTTTGTCATCCTCCAAACAGAGTGATCGTCCCTTTCATAAAACATCTCACATTCATCCAGGGAGACAATGGCATCCCATTTTGTCCTTGAATCACTGAAATAAGAGGTATTTTGATCACTAATATCTGCTATTATCAAAACACCATCAAGATTCCCACAGGATTAGATAACCCAGGTGAAGCTGTACACAGGTCCCCCCAGTACAGGTTCCCCCCCGGCTCTTTTGCTCTGTGTCATATTGCATCTGTTTCTAAATGCTCTGTCGCTGAGAACAGTGGCACCAGACAAAGCCCCGGGTTCTGCCCAGGGCAGCTGTGGCCCTCTCAGGTCACGGCTGGAAGGCATATTGTCTGAGTCCTTTTCTTTCAGTTTTCTCAGTAGAAAATCCTAGAATCATAGAATCATTTTGGTTGGAAAGACCTCTAAGGTCGACTGTGATGTGTGTGTGAAAATCACAACAAACCTACAGAAGATGTTGGAATAAATATTCACATAAACACTGAAATATTCACAGATGCTTGAACCAGGAAAGCAAGGGCAATAAACACAGCTCAGCTACGAGGGTTCTGGACTAATACACTTGGCACTTCCCATCAGGATAACCTATGGGTTAAATGGTTAATGTTTCTCTGCCTATCCCAGGCAGTCCAGGCAGGATTTGGACAGCAGAGTACCAGTTCATTCCATTGGCTGGGTGGCCCCTGACCAGGGGAGGCCAAGGGCCATAGTGGCTCCGCTGCGGGTCTGGGTGGGCAGCAGCCCTTCACTGCACCAGCATCCCAACATCACCCATCCACCTGCATGCGTGCTCCTTGCCCTTTCCTTTGGGAAGTTCCTAAAGCAGAAGGTTTCCCACTCCAGGGAGAGCTCATGCAGAAGCCCTTGGGCTGGGAACAGTGTCCCTGCTCAGCACAGCTGCTGATCCCAGCATGAAGCTCTGGGCACTCTACAGTAGCAAAGGAAGAGCCATTTAATCGCTCTGTGCTTCATGTAATCTTCTACACACCATAGCACCGCGGTTAGAGGATCCCTCTGGACTTTTCTTTCTTACATATTTTCACCATATATCACTTCCCTTCCAATACGAGATCAGGGAAAAAAGGGATGGTGAAAAGTGGGAGAGCAGCAGCAGGAAAAAAATACCTGACAAACAGCAACAGCCTCCCAACACCCCTTTAAAATAATGACGATTTACCAAATGGTTGGGAAGTTGTTATAATTCCTTTTCCAAATTATTACTCGCCCTTTAGATTAGAAATGAGGCCAGGGTTAGCAATCAGCCTTAAATGGTAGGATTTCTGAAGTAGAAGCACTTGTCTGATTGTGAAGTGGAGGCCATTATTGCCTTGATTGAGTCTTTTTTTTTTTCTCTTTTTTTTTTTTTTAAGCTTGCTTGATTTGCGGCTGAGAGCACACATTCACCGCAGTACTGGGAGCAATCAGAGCTTTCCCTGCTCTTTTTTGCTCAGCGATTTAGGGTCCACTACTTTGGCACAGCTGCCACCTTTTAGCCTCCATCAAGCAGAGATATTTTTAAGTGAACTGCATTTTGTGTTTGTCTTTTCTCCTCCCACGCCTTTCCTTCTTCATGATTTTTCTTTCTTTTTTTTTCTCCTTTTTTTTTTTTTTTTTCTTTCAGAGTTGGGGGATGAATGTCTGTGAAAATATTGTGTGAACTTTAGTTCCAAGTATGAAGTTGAAAGAAGACAGCTGAAGCTGGCAGGTCATCATCTGGTTCCACACACATATCAGATCTGTAGTTACATGAGAAACAGGGATGAAGTGACTTGTTCAAAGGGCTGAAGTCAGACAGAAGCACTGACAGGTTTCTGGGTGGTGGAGTTTATAGAGTTTTGTTTGCCTGAAAACCAGATTGAAGCCAAGAACTTGTATTTATATAATTTCTTTCCAGAACTCATCTGTTTAGCTGGCATATTCTACTTTAGAGCTCCTCCCAGACTGGCTCTAGAAGTGTTCAGCACAGCTGAGGGCCTGGTGCCTGACAGACCATGGGGCTCACCCCAGCCCCCAGCCCACACCCAGGAGCGGCCAGTGAGGCCAGCACAGAAGAGGTAACAGAGCCACAGCAGGGCCACCCCGCTCCAGCCCAACCACAGAACCTGCCAGCACCTCAGGGTCAGGAGCACGTCAGCACATCTGCAGGAAGCCACAGACATCAATCTCATTCCTTTTTAATCACTTCTGCTCTGAAATAGCTGAGTTTTGCCTCATAATCCATCTGCAGGCAGGAACTCTGTGTCAGCTAATCCAACAAAACACACCTCCATGGGCCACTGGAACATCCCTAAAAACATGGTGAATGGAAATGCACCAAATGCCCAACTGCAGTGGTGTGACAGGCCTTGGGAGCGCAGGGACCGAGTTGTGCCATGTAATGC